CAGTTACTGTTTTTATTTCTATGGGTCATAGACGTGATTATCACAGAAAAAGTAATTGCACTTAAACTAAGAATCAGTGAATTCTTCAATTATTATGTGAGTGATGGAGTCTAATTGATAAAAAGCTATTTATTAGTAACAGGAACATACTTTTTTTTAGACAATCCAATAAGATATGTAAATGTTTTGTAACCCATATTTCAGGTGAAAGAGGTATAGGTGCTAAGCAAAGAAAATGTGTAAGGTGGAGTTTAGTGTATAAATATATGAGGAAGTAAAAGACAGAAAGGGCTGGGGGCGAGAAAAGACTTTGGAGCTGAAGAGAAAAAGGCATTCTCTTATCTGTGAAAGGAGGAGCTCTGTCTGTGCATTAGCTCTTCTGTATGAGGGATTCACAAACACACATACACACACATACAAGGATGAGTCACTAGCAAAGAGAAAGTAAGTGAATGAGAGCTTTCTAACTGCAGCGTGTTTTCATGTGAGACGTTTTGGCACCGTAGTTTTTCTCTAGTACATCACTGAGCAGAAGGTTTTATCCCTCAAATGTTACTTGTGTGTGTTCGCAGCAGTTCAACCTCGTGGATTTCACACAATTTAATTGTGAGTGCGATTAGTAAGATTAGAAGACTATTAGAAATAGCGCTAGAACAAAGTCTTACATCAACACCCAGTGGGGGAGTCTATGGTGCATGCAGCTCTCTTCTGCTAATGCTGAGGGAGCAGCTGAGAACAATGTAGGCAAAACGCTCTCACACACACACACACACACACACACACACACACACACACACACACACACACACACACACACACACACACACACACACACACACACATGCTCTTAGGATGGAGAGACACAAGCACAACAAAAAAGGCTAAGACAACTTAACAACAAACTGTCATTTTGCTTATAACAGTAGCTTATTTAGGTCATGCCTGCTGATTGGAACCGGTTTATATTAAACTGTAGTACAGCATGCAGCATGGTTTAAATTGACTGGCAGCATTCGAAAGGCAGACTTTGATGATAGAATGACCAACACTTTGATATCTTTTGCACTTTTTTAACCTATACTACGATTGTGGTGTTGAAATTATGCTGTGGGTCAATTTCTGTGTCAGTGGGACTGGTATAATCTACAAATTGAATCAAATAATGAAGATGGAAGACCATCTCTACAGCCATTGTTTTATTTGAAATCAATGGATGAAATATAAACCAAACTGGTTGATTAAACAGTGTTGTAATCCTAAAAATCATAGCTTGTTTTATTGTTTAACTCTGCAATCACATTGATGTAAACTTGTTGATGCTTTGATGCTTACTGCCTAATTTAACTTAGCTGTACAATTTCGGTTATGGTATATTAATTAAAATATTAGTTGAGGGATGCATGTATTTAACCTGACTCTGCCAGATGGATTGTTCTTCATATCCATCTGGAAACCTTCCGTTGAAGTAATTTTGGGAAGGGACGAAAATACTGGTTAGCTAATTGGCCTATGTCGGTGATAGACGGGCCAAATAAACCAATCAGATCAACGAAGCATATGACGTACTAACAGCCAGGCTACTCTTGCCGAAAACAGTCGGGAGAAGAGCAAAAACATCTTTTCCTCTGAGAAAAGCCTCCAGAGCAGTGTTTTGCTCTTCTTTCAGTGAAGA